AGCAGTACAAAGTTATTCTTTTGAAGAAAATCAAAGTGATGATGAGCCTGCATTGGGTCTTGATCCTAAAGGGATGTTTTATTTTTAAGTGAGTTTATTTTAAATCTTCTTTTCCTTAATATACTAATGTTATCTTAGAACAAATCATCAAATTCACAATTGTTGTAATATTTTGTTATTTTTTGACATTTTTGTCATTATTCATAATTTTAAATTGCTTTATTTTTATAATTTTTGAGGCTTACGCCTCGATCCGCCTCGAGGCTTACGCCTCGTCTCGCTTCGCTAAGTCAAAACGCCTCGATTCCCGATTTTGCCTTTTAAAACGTTGATATAGCCTCATATAAAGGACTCAAAAATAAAAGACAATAATGCCCTTTGGACTTACACATGACCTCCCTTTAATAAGGGGTAAAAGTGGAAAATAATAAAAACAAATACAAACATAGAGTAATAAATGACAAATACATAATATGACTCAAAAATACACCGGCTTGATCATGACCGTAGATCGAAGGCCATGTCTTTTATAGACTTTCCAAGCTCCGATGCCCCCATCATTCTCCCGTGGTGGGAAAAAGCTCGATTCCGTTGAGTAAGCGTCTTGGGCGCTCTCATAGATCTCCAATGCATCAGGGTCAATCTGATGTAGCTCCTCACAATTCAACCAATTATCCTCTAACTCAGGTTTGCCTCTCCACCTGATCAAGTACCTTCGTCGTCCACCTTCCCTTATGGAGATGATGTTATCACTCAGAATCGCGTCCACCTTTTCTGCCATGGGTAATTTGAGAATATTTGGGAGTGGAGCTAGGTTTGGGTTCTCACATGGTGGGGTCACATCGGGCTGCTGTATGAGTGGATTTGGTGGGTTGAAATCAAGACCTTCATATGCAACTAGATCTTCTATGTTAAAGGAGGGATTGATGTTGAATTATGCAGGCAAATCTACTACATAAGCATTATCATTGATTTTCTTAATTATCTTGAATGGTCCAGCACTCTTAGCATGCAACTTCTTAACTGTTCTCTGTGGGAACCGTTCCGGACGAATCCGCACCATCACGGAGTCACTAACCTTAAAAGTTTTAAATTTTCATTTAAGATCACCATACAATTTATAATCATTATTGCTCTTTTTAATTTGTCATGCAATTTCTTTATGAAGTTCATGCATATGTGATGCAAATGAAGATGCAGACTCAGAAATCCTATACCTAGAGCATATGGGTATAAGGCCTAGTGGTTGTCTAGGTTTGAACCCATAAATAATTTTAAAAGGACTTAGGCCAGTGGTTTGGTTCACAGAATTATTATAGGCAAACTCAGCTGTTGGGAGAATGAAACAATCCTTAATATGCTCGCCTACCAAGGACCGTAACAGATTGCCTAAGCTCCTATTGACTGCCTCGATTTGACCATCAGTTTGTGGATGAAAGACTATGGAGAAATGCAATTTAGTGTCCATTTTCGTCCAAAGGGTCTTCCAAAAATAGTTGGTGAATTTAACATCCCTATCTGATACAATGGTTTTGAGTAAACCATGTAAGCGGACAACATCATTGAAATAAAGTTTTGCAATGTGGGAGGCGTCAGCTGTTTTGGAGCAAGGTAGGAAATGAGTCATTTTAGAGAATCGATCTACGACAACACAGATGACGTCATTCTTATAGATAGTCTTTGGCAGGCCTAAAATAAAGTCCATGCTAACGTCCTGCTAAGGACAACTGGGTACAAGCAGAGGGGTGTAATGATTAGTATTTTGCTTGCGTTGTTTGGCCAGCTGGCAGTTGTGGCACCTGCTGACCATCCTACCGACATCTCTCTTTAAACTGGGCCAATAAAAATGATACTCCACGGCTTCTATCGTCTTATCTCGTCTGAAGTGACCAGCGAGGCCTCTGGCGTGGAGCTCTCACACAAGAAATTCTCTAAGGGAGGTGCTAGATTTGCAAAGCTTTTGAGCTTCGGAAAGATAACCATCCTCCAGAAGAAAATCGTCTACATGGCGTGTGTTGCCCATGGATAGGAGAGAGTAAGTTTGCTTGAAGTCAGGGCATTCCAAATAGTTTCTCTTTATTTGGTCAAAATCCACGATTTCAGCTCTCATCTCAGTGGTAGTTATCATACGACGACTGAGAGCATCAGCAGCTTTATTCTCAACTCCCGTCTTATGTCTAAGGGTATAAGTATACTCATGAAGGAATTCTACCCATCGACTGTGATGTGCATTTAACTTCTTTTGGGAGTTGATA